CCCTACACTACATTCTAAGACAACACAAGACTGTAAGACACTTAAGATAAAGACATTTTTTCCTATAAAACACAATTTAAAGTTACAATTTCTATTGCATTTCCATGCTTGCATCTATCCCAGAATATCTCCCCTGATTTTAAACTGGGATTTTTCATTTATTGTAAAATAGTGAAGAACCTGCTAACCTAAGTACAACCTAAAATTTACAAAGGAATAGCAAAAGAGCATTCACTTTTCTTACATCTGAAAAAGGCAGCATCAAGTATCTCATCCTACATTGAAAAAAAACCAACAGCAAACATACACAATAGCTCACCGATTTCCACCTTTAGCAACCCTTTTTCAACACACCTGATGTGATATACTTGTTCCTGAGAATGGCTTTACAGGACGTGGCTTAGATTGTTTCATTCTGTGCTTCTTCCGCTTCCTTTCCCTGCGGAGAGCTTCCCGGGACAACATCAATTCAGAGTCAGTTGAAGCACAGGGCAGTTTCCGAGGAAGACCTGGGTTTTGGCTTGGAGATGTGTTGTTCACAGTGCCATTATTTCTAGTACAGGCTTTTTTAGTATCAGGTTCTGATGATGAAACCCATTTGTCAGAGTCTGAACTAGTGTCTTCTAGATCCATAGAGTCAGTTTTCTGTTCCCAGTTATTTCCACAAGACAGTGGTGCTCTTGTTACACGCAGACACTGCTCATTTCTTCCCTGTTCTGACTTGATAGTTTTATCCTTTTTGGCCAAGAAACAGCGGCGAGACTCGGGGGTAATAAGCAGTTTTTTAATCACAACTTTTGGGTACAATGAACCTGGTGCCTTGCACACTCTGCCATTCTCTAAAATGTGCACACTGTCTTTTTTCTCCTTAATTCTTCTCCGAAAGGCATCTACCACACAACTGATGTCTGGTGTTCGGTCTGGCATCTTTCTTCTTCTGACCTTTGGAGAAGATATTTTCCTTTCCAAACATTCAGCAAAAAAACCTGACAGTCCAGTTCCTGCATCTTTTACATTTCCTCTGTCGGGTGAGCACAACACAGTTCTGTCTTTACGGCCAAAGTCTAGAGAGAAAAGATGAATAATTCACAATATTGATGAAAAAAAACCACCTTACTGTATAGCATTACTTGATATTTTATCTCTCTCTCTCATGCAATCCAAAATGAATTTACTTAATCAATTAGTTTTGCTAGTGCCATGCAATTTAATTCATACCAATGACTCATATGATCTGTCTCATCCTCAGTTGTTAGAAATAATCTAGTTTAAGCATGAGACAGTAACTTGAAATAATAATGTCACCATTTAACATAATTTATTAGGAAATTAACATTTTCCAGTATATTATTAGAAAAAAAAATGTGCCTATTTTGACTTATTTGGTAAGCTATACTCATGCTGCTGCTCCAGTTTGGAATAGGACTGGACTACACTTCTGTGCACTTACATAATTAAAACTCATATAAATAACTTCCATGTAAAAACCCCACATATTTACCTTGGTTTAAAACTGGTTTGAAGAACTCTGTAATGGTCTGGTTTCTGAAGAGAAAACATAACTTTATCTTTTTAAAAGAACAACACCTGAATGCCCATACAGTGAATACTGATAAAATTGAAATGCTGTTGTTTATTTCAACAGCTTTTTGGGCTTTGTTTTGTTTTTAATGCCAGCAATGTCTGATAGCTCTGCTAGATCAGAGAAATCAGCATCATCCCCATTACCTTCTAGCCTTCATTCAGCTTGGCTAATGAAGCCAATCTGCCAAGTTTCTCCATTTAAACTGTTTCCTTTATCCTACCAAGGCTTAAGTACCCTTCCAGCTTAAACTAAACTTTCTTAAATGGGACTCACCTCACCTATTCTAGCTGAGAACTCACCAGTACCTTATATGATGGTGTTAACAACATCCCCATCTCCACTGCCAACACTTTGAGCTGGTAACTCCTACTGTATTTCTTTATATTTTTGTAAGGTGTTGTGGTGGTGAGCACCTGGCCTTAACAATACCATCAGAAATCAAAACCTCCTCAATGCATTATTAGTTGCAATTAAGTCTAGAGCCAAAGTTTTGCCTGCAAATTGTGACATTCAACTAATCCTGTAACTTTCTTCTTGTTGTCCAAAACCCATTTGCACCATTTGTTGTTTTGGTTTTTTTCACATCTGGTCCCAGCCTGGGATGCAAATTCCTACCTGCACTATAACCAGACTTATCAGAAGGAACTTATACCAGCACTGTCCCTTAACAAATTGACATGTCAGTGGCCTCCCTCCCAGCACACTTTAGGAGCATCTTCTGGCTTTCAACAGAAATAGCAGTTTACAACAATCTTATTTTTCCACACACACAACAATTAACAGTTTTAAATTAAGGTATTTACTCTGACAAGAGCAAATGGGACATGAGAACATCAAGGCATTTCTCTGTGAGAGAATGTAACTTCTAAAAACAGGCAGATAGAGTAACGTACAATTTGAACACTAAAACACACCAAGAACTATGAACCTGCAATCTTTTCCCACACAGCAAGGAAGCTCACAAACTACTTCAAGGCTAAACTTGTGCCTGTTTGGAAGTGTCTTTTCAAATTTAAACAAGATATTGGTGCAAGAAAGCAAGAATAATACAGATTTGTTTAATACCTTC